TGCTTAATATTAGTGTTCTAAGAACCCAGTGTTGTCAAGACTTTGAAAAGTGCTTGATATTTTTATTATTTTTTCATTGTTGTTAAAGTAGACGTCTTGCTGGGTGCATTGGCTTATACCTATAATCCTAGCACTTTGGGAGGCCAAGGCAAGAGGATTGCTTGAGGACAGGAGGTCAACACAAGCTTTGACAATATAGTGAGACCTCCTCTCTACTAAAAATGAAATATTGCTGAGCATGGTGGCATGCACCTGTAGTCGTAACTACTCAGGAAACTAAAGCAGGAGAATCACTTGAACTTAGGAGCTGGAGGTTATAGTGAGTTAAGACTGCATATTGTACTCCAGCCTAGTTGACAGACTGAGACCCTATCTCAAAAAAAAAAAAAAGCAAAGCAGCAGATGTCTTAAATAACCTGAATTAGTTGGTTTTATAGATGGGGCTTAATGTAGATTTTAGTTTTGAAAATACATTTTTAATATATTTTCATGGTATTTCATATTCTAAACAGGGATTGCCAGTATCTCTGAAAAATTCGGGAGCACTGGTTTTATACATTTTGAATTTGCATTCATCTTTTACTCAGGAGACCTATTTTCTCATTTGGCAATAATCAGCTTTTTTCTTTCTAATGCACTAGGACAGTTCGTGTGGCAATGCAAGTACCTGTTGTAATGACATCATTGGGTCAGAAAATTTCAACTGTGGCAGTTCAGTCAGTTAATGCAGGTGCACCATTAATAACCAGCACTAGTCCAACAACAGCAACCTCTCCAAAGGTAGTCATTCAGACAATCCCTACTGTGATGCCAGCTTCTACTGAAAATGGAGACAAAATCACCATGCAGCCTGCCAAAATTATTACCATCCCAGCTACACAGCTTGCACAGTGTCAACTGCAGACAAAGTCAAATCTGACTGGATCAGGAAGCATTAACATTGTTGGAACCCCACTGGCTGTGAGAGCACTTACCCCTGTTTCAATAGCCCATGGTACACCTGTAATGAGACTATCAATGCCTACTCAGCAGGCATCTGGCCAGACTCCTCCTCGAGTTATCAGTGCAGTCATAAAGGGGCCAGAGGTTAAATCAGAAGCAGTGGCAAAAAAGCAAGAACATGATGTGAAAACTTTGCAGCTGGTGGAAGAAAAACCGGCAGATGGAAATAAGACAGTGACCCACGTAGTGGTTGTCAGTGCGCCTTCAGCTATTGCCCTTCCTGTAACTATGAAAACAGAAGGACTAGTGACATGTGAGAAATAAAATCGCAGCTCCACCGTAGACTTCAGGCTGTTAGTGGCAGTACTGATGTAAACATTTGCAAGGGAAGTCACCAAGAAAAGTCAAAGAAGACTTTAAAACATTTTTAATGCATATACAAAAACAATCAAACGTACTGGAAATAAATTACCTATCCCATGTTTCAGTGGGAAATGAACTACATATTGAGATGCTGACAGAAAACTGCCTCTTACAGTAGGAAACAACTGAACCTGTCAATAAGAAAGGATTGAAAGGGACCAACCAACTCACTACGATATCAAGTTACACTAAGATTTGGAACACTAACATTCTGTAAGAGGTTACATAGTTTTCGGTGGGGAGGGGTTGGGATGGGTGATCTCATTGTTACATATAGCAATTTTTGATGCATTTCATATGCATACCAGCAATTATTACTGTGTTTGCACAGTTCTCACTTAACTGGTGCTATGTGAAGACTCTGCTAATATAGGTATTTTAGAATGTGAATTGAAGAATGGATCCAAATACTTCAGAAAGAGGATAGCAAAAAAGATCTAGTGCGATTTTATATATATATATATATATATATATACACACACATATATATATATCATATAGCTTAAGCTGATTTAAAACAAAGGCCTTAGACTAATTTTTTGGTTTTCTTTCTTGAAATAAGCTAATGGCTTGTTTGTGTAAAGCTTTTTTATTAAAAGAAAAATTTTAAAAATCTTGTACCTAGCACAGTATTGTTATAGAATTTACATGTAACATTTTATATGGTAGTTTAAGTCTGTCAGTTTCTTAATTGTGGACAAATTAACAGTTGGCTCTGGCCTTTTGCTATAACATGCCCGTGTCACTCGCTTAGCCCTGGCATTTGTGCAGACATCATTTTCAGTTCTGCTGTCACTTGGAAGTTCAGGCTCAGCATGAATTTTTGTCAGGTAGCTGTAATACCTGGAGTTTTCTTTCTTTTTCTTTTCTTTTTTTTTCAGTTGAAGTTTATGAGGGAAAGTACCAGTGTTCAGATTTGAACTATAATAGTTTGTATATTCAACATTTGAAGTATATTCTATTTTGTTGTACTCTTGTTTCAAAGTGTATTCAAGTAGGTTTTCTGAAATATAGAAATGAAATTTATCTTCTGTTTTGGTTTCTGTTGATATTTTTAACAGTATTTAAAAGCCAGTATAGAAGTGTTTTAGTTAAGAAGTGATAAAACATCCCTATTTCTCCTTCCCAACTACTGCATGCAGAAATTCTACTTTTGTTTTGTTCCATTATATTAATATTTGGCAAATAACTGGATGTTGCCAGTTTCTAATTATAATGATGAACTATAATGTTCTGCTTAACATAATGAATTTCGTATTTTAGTTGGCTGCAGTTAAAGAATTTATATTTATAAAACACTTCAAATCAGACCAATTGTTTCACAGTCAGACCTTTTGTGGGTAAAAAGAACAGTTACTCTTCTAGCCCTTTTACACATTAGGAAATTAAGGTATCTGAAGGTATCTGAAGGAATTATGTAAACTATGTAATTTCACTACTGTCACTCCATATCTTAATGCTCTTTCTACAACAAAGAAAAGTTGTCTATTTTTACACCTTTTAGAAATTTAGATGAACTCATACTTAACATTTTTTGTCCTTTGTGCATTTGATCATATACTATTTAGGTCAGAGATTGTTTATAACAATTCCCTTTGTAATATTTTAAACTTTTTCATAACTGTATTACTTTTCAAAACTGTGATACTTTTCAACAAAAGCTGAAAGAAAAACTCACTTGATTTCTTGCCCATTTGGGAGTTACTCTCAAATTTGACCTCCTTTTAAAACATTTCCAAAATATTTCAGGTTTGAAAATTGATATTATGTGCTTTGGCACTTAATTGTATTATCTTGTTTATTGCACTGTGACTTCATTTGTTTAGTCATGTCTTCCATAATACTCATTTTGAGCAATGATTATATTTTATGCTATACCTACCCCTCTCTCCAAGTGCTGAACATATTAGACACTTGGGTCAGACTTTTACTTATTTTGGGAATATTTGCTAAGAATCTAAGTCACCTTGCTTAAAGACTTTCCTTCTATGCTGGATTCTTAATTGGTTCTAATAGGGCTAAACCAGGACTACTTAGCTTACCCCTGCCACTCTACTGGAAGTTTTTGTGTTTCTTTGAGAATACATCTAAAGTCTAGACTTGAGGCCAGGCATGGTGGCTCATGCCTGTAATCCCAGCACTTTGGGAGCCGAGGTGGTTGGATCACTTGAGGCCAGGAGTTTGAGACCAGCCTGGCCAACATGGTGAAACCCTATCTCTACTAAAAATCCAAAAATTAGCCAGGAGTGGTGGTGCATGTGTGTAATCCCAGCTCCTCAAGAGGTTGAAGTACAAGAATCTCTTGAACCTGGGAGGTGGAGGTTGCAGTGAGCCAAGATGATGAAGCCACCACACTACAGCCTGGGTGACAGAGAGATTCTGTCTCAAAAAAAAAAAGTATAGACTTGGAAACATACATGTTAACAGTATATACTGATCAGAATGTTGCAGATTGAAATTATCAGTCATACAACTCGCTCTGATCCTGCCTGCCTGGGCTTTTAATCCTAGCCCTTCTAAACTATAAATTAACATAATTTATGTGTCCAGTATATTAGAGGGAAAAAAACCCCACATAACCATGGATTGATGCCACTACATTTTCCAGCCTCACTAGATCTTTAAATTATGATCAGTAGTCTTAACAATGTATTCTTTAGTCCACTTTCCAGCAATAATTCCAGCCTTCACCACCCTTCTTACCAAAAAACCAGTATACCTCTATAGAGAGAACATGGTCATGAGCTGTGAATTCCCTCCGTTCCTGGACCCCTTGCTACAGAGGATTTACTTATTCTAACATCCATCCTTACCACCTGTCTCAGGAAGGAGGTGCCTTTCCTCCTGTTCTCAGCATCTCCCTTTCACACATTCTTGGTTTCATTGTTCCAACAATTAACAGCCTATCATTCACTCTCACTCTCTCTCTCTCTCACTCACTCTGTCTCTCTCTCTCTTTTTTTTTTTTTTTGAGACTGAGTCTTGCTCTGTTGCCAGGCTGGAGCGCAGTGGTATAATCTTGGCCCACTGCAACCTCCGCCTCCCGGGTTCAAATGATTCTCTTGCCTCAGCCTCCCAAGTAGCTGGGACTACAGGCATGCGCCATTATGCCCAGCTAATTTTTGTATTTTTCTATTTAGGTTTCACCATGTTGGCCAAGAGGGTCTCGATCTCCTGACCTCGTGATCCACCAGCTTCGGCCTCCCAGTGTTGGACCGGCCTGTCTCTTCTTTTTCTTTAAATAGCCTGCAGTCTGAATTCTTGCCTAGAAACAGTTCTCCGTGAGATCTCCAATAACCCAATTGTCAAATCAAACAGACACTTTGGTTCACTTGATCTCATGCCTACTTTTCAAAACTCATTTTGTTTCCCACTTTTACTTCTTCTCTAACCAACTTGTTTTTTCTTAATCTGCTTTCTGCCTATGGGGTTCTTTTCCTCATAGAATTGTTTTAATGATTAAATGAGTTAATATATTAAGGATTTGGAATTAGTGTCTGGCACATAGAAAACACTCATTAGATATTTAATTACTATTATGATTTCACTAGCAGAATTGTTAGATAATCTCATCCATGGCTATGGTTTTTACTACCAATGTATTGTTACAGCATAGACTTTTATGCTGTCTTTTTTTTTTTTTTGAATGCTTCATGACAATTGGTGTCATCCTTGCACAGGGGCTGTACTAATCTCTGTATTGTTCCAGTACTAGGATATGTGCTGCTGAAGCAGGCACTACTAAGTCTTAGATGGGTTTATCTAATTGCCAGTAACCCATTACTCATGCTAGAGGCAACCTGGGGGTGATCGTAGATACTTTACCTCCTCTAATCATTAACCAAATTTCTACTCAAGGTACCTTCTAAATACCTTCTTTTCTATCCTCCCTATCTTTGTCTCACTAAGCCTTCGTCTAATCTCTTCTCCATAATACCAGTTGAGAACTTTTCAAATGGGGCTTACATCACTCACACCGTTGTGATTGCTTCAGATTCTTCAGTGGCATTTCTTGCTGAAAAGATACGCCTGAGCATAACAATTAAAGGCCTTTGATCTGGGCTCTGCCTATCTCCCCAAACCTCATTCTCTTGCTACTCCTCTTTTAGACTTAGCTGGGCTATGGACATACTATAGTATTTTTTCCCAAATATTCTAGGCATTCATACCTGAGCCATCCATTAATGGCTTCTTTCTGGACAACTCGTTCCTCATTCACTACATTGGAGTTCAGTTTTATTTACTGAGATACAAGGTGACAGACTCAAAAGTTTCTGAACTAGGTATGGAAACCATTCAGGTTGGGGAGTGATCTACTGTTGAGTAAGCTCTGAATATAGAGGCCAGAAAGAGGAAAGCATATAAAAACAGGGTGAGGAAGAAGAAAATCAGCAGTGGAAGTCAAGGACTATTCACAGAGAATAAACAGGACAGATAAGGTAACATTTCAAGATATGGTGGCATCAGCAAGTGCAGCAGGAAAGGCAAAGCAAATCAGGTGAAAGGTAAAGCCACTGAGATTACACTGACAATGAGAGGTTAGTTTCCGTGAGGGGTGGTGGTGAAGCCAGAATGTAAGGGATGGGCACCTGGTACATTACTTAGTGGCCTGTGTGACACCGCATACATTCAGGAGTGTACATTTCGAATTACATTAACAAGTCATGTCTAATTACTAATTAGATAAACCAAAGACAAAATTTTGGTACTGGGGTTATTTATAAGGTCTCTATGATCCTTTTGCTTTAAATCTCCTATCCTTTTATAAGGGTACTGCAGGGCACTTTATATTTTTGAGAGGCAAGAGTAACCCTTTAGTATCACAGCTGTCAAAGCAACTTTTCCCTTTATTTTAGCTTTTACCTATTCGTGGTACTGCAAATCTTCTGTGGTTGTGATTCATTTAGTCCAGCCCCTTTGTTACAATCACTGTCCCCCATAATTAAAACATACTCTGTAGGAACTGAGTACACTGTGATGCCAACCCTGATGGAAGAATAAGATACTTTTCATCCTTTACAGGGGCACTTATTTCCCTCCTATCTGCATTACACCTACAAACCTTTGAAACGTGCAGCAGGGAGAATTATCTGAGCACCCATAACTATCTTTCTGAACACTGCAACTCAGTAGTAATGCTTTGGGTTCAAGACTAAAAAACAATACATCACAGCTTCCAAACTGAAAATATAATACAAGTAAAACAATTGCTTAATGTAAAATACTGCATATCAAAGATGAAACAAAAGAAAGCTGAATTATAAATAGGCTGTAAACTAACAGCAGAGTTACTTACTCCCAAGATAATTGTTCACATCCATTGCACTGTAGTATCATATTTTTTGAGATGGAGTCTCACTGTGTCGCCCAGGCTGGAATGCACTGGTGTCATGTTGGCTTGCTGCAACCTCCACCTCCTGGGTTCAAGTGATTCTCCTGCCTCTCAGCCTCCTGAGTAGCTGGGATTCCAGGTGCGCGTCACCATGCCCAGCTAATTTTTTGCATTTTTAGTTTCACCATGTTGGCCAGGCTAGTCTCGAACTCCTGACCTCAGGTGATCCACTCGCCTCGGCTTCCCAAAGTGCTGGCATTACAGGTGTGAGCCATTGCACCTAGCCTGCATTGTTGTATCTTAACTTTAAGAGACTTGTCTGTTTCAAGTAAGTGATGCTATCACTGCCCAAAAGGAAAAATATTAGTCTATATTATCTGCAAATTATTTCTGAGTTGTAGGCATTAATTCACTTGAATGCAAACTTTGCCTCACATTAGAAATAGCATAATCCTGTGTCCTAGCTCCTACTCCATACCAATTAAGTTAGTGTTTGGGAGAGGGAGCCAGGCATCTTTATTTTTAAAATATCTATAGGTGATTACATTGTGCAGCATTTTAGAACCACTGCCTTGTAGTTCAAATAAGGAATGCTTTAACGTTTAGGGTTCCTGTGTTCCAACCCAAGTGTTCCAAAAATGGAAAGAGGTAGTTTGGGATATATTATTACAAACGGCTTTTTAAAAACCTACATACTGTATATTTTACCGATTTTAAAGCCTTTTTCTTATATTTAACATCTCTTTCATTGGGATGACTATAGACTTATGAAACAGTACACCAAGTTAATGTGCCTTGTCTCTTCAAAGAAATTACTCTGGAAAGCTATGTGCTAATTCCAATAATGTTACCATTATTTTAGTCTTGAACCCAAAGCATTGTTCAGAATACTTTTAAGTGGTTTCTTAGAGCAGAATCTAAATTTTAAATATATTTAATAGATACAAATCTCCACTGAAGATTTTAGTTTTAAAAAGAGCTGCATCATTTGAAGTTAATATGATGCGAATCAAGCTAGGTAATGTCATATTTGGCTCCAAAGGAGATGTGGCTATGAGGATGACAAAAGTTTTCTTAAGAACTTCTTATATGGAAGCAGTTCCAAAAAGGTTCAAAAATTTCTTTGGGTAGTAGCAGCGTAATTCAGAGCTTAAAAATTAAAATCAGAATTTTAAGAAACCTTAGAGATTGTTCCTTTATTGCAAACGAAGTTTCAGGAAAACTTGACTCATCGGTCAGTTGAGCTACTCAGTAGCAGAACTGCAAAGAACTCATCCTCTGACTCCCAGTTGAGTTTTAGCCTGAACCCCCACTCGCTCCCAGTCAAAAACAGTGGGGGTGGGGGCTGCAGAGAGGGAAGCAAAGTTAGCTTCTGAATAAGTGTATTCTAACATGTAATAATCCTTACTCTCTCACAAACTGAATTTGAAAATATTGCAGAATTTTGCTGGGTGTTCTCTGCAGGAATACGAGTCTGTGAAAACCAGAATCAGATGTCAGACATGTTCATTATGTCCAGTCTTCCACCGTCTTCCTTTTTTTTGGAGACAGCCTCGCTCTGTCACCCAGGCTGGAGTGCAGCGGTGCAATCTCAACTCACTGCAACCTCTGTCTCCCAAGGTCAAGCCTTTCTCCTATCTCATCCCCCCGAGTACCTGGGATTACAGATGCCTGCTGTCATGCCCAGCTAATTTTTATATTTTTAGTAGAGACGGGTTTCACCATGTTGGCCAGGCTGGTCTCGAATTCCTGACCTCAGGTGATCCACCCACCTCTGCCTCCCAAAGTGCTGGGATTACAGGTGTGAGCCACCACGCCTGACCAATTTCCACCTGTATGCAGGTTTCCATTCTTGTATGCAAGCTGTCTGGATCTTGTAGCCTGAACCTGTTTAGTGTGGCAAGATATTTAATCAGTATCCTGCTTTACTGCTAGAAGAGTTTCAGATAGTTTATGTATAAGAATAAATAATGAAAGTCAACAAAAATAAACAGGTAAAAGAAATTTCAGCAAAGAGGATAGCAAAAAAAAAAAAAAAGGATAGCAAAAGAAAGCGAATACACAGAATATATGCTGTAAAGTATTAGAGTTGCTAAAATTCAGCCATATTCTGGATTTGAATATATTGGCAGCCAAAAAAGTTAACCAGTTGAGATTCATAGTCCAAGTTTACCAGATGCTTAGGAGCCGCAAAGCTTTGCCCAGCATTCTGTCAAGAGGTTTTTGCTGTCTGTGTGAGTAATCTTACATGAATGTTTTCCCAGAATTGAGTTTTCCAAAGAAATACAGGAGCAAGGGGCTAGAGTTGTGGGTATTCTGTTTTATCATTCAAAGGCAGATCTCTCGACTTTACAAATCAAAGTACCACTGATGACAACCTCTTGAAATTGAACTAAGCACTAGCCCACAACCTCACATCTGCTGAGGAACAACTGGGAGAAAAGACCAACCAACCAATTTTTTGCCATTCAGTCAGCCCCTCTACCTATTTTGGGCTTAAATTTCTATAAACACTATTAGTTCTGCCCTTTCAAATGGAAGGGTTATTCATTTTGGCTGAAAAAATTAGGAGTGGGCTGTTAACTAAATACAGGGCCCTTCCCTGTTTTGAAACTTAGCCATTATTATTCTGTGACTTACAATATGTACTTTAAAATTTATAATACTATTTTACAGATATCCCACAAATCTATGAGGTGGAGAGGGCAGATATAATATACTCTATGGAGGATGAGAAAACAGGCTCTAGAGATGGAGTGACTTGTTCAGGGTAACACTGATCACACAGCTAAGTCTTCACTTACAGCCTGCGTCCTTCGACATGCATCCTTTTTCCCCTCTCTTTATTATACATGCCCTAGTTCCAGGCCTTTGCCATTCTGATGTTTGACCATGGCTCACAAATCTCTTGCTAATATCTGTTCACTCTAGATAAAAAGTCTGCCCATTTTTTATTTTTATACATGCCATTTTAAAGAAAGAGTTGATTAGAGCTCCTTATGCATGCACATTCATTTCTTGGATGCTTTTCCTTTTTTAAAACTGAAATCAGTTGTGATCATGTTTTAGTTTTATCTCTTTTTAAAATTTAATTTTTGGAAATCTTTCCTCAACTCTAAAGCACGTGAAAAATAATGCATATACATGTAATTATATGCAACATTCCCTTCATTATAAATCTTGGCTATTTTTAAAAATGGTTTGAATACAGAATATTTGCATCAATTTTTTCCTTTAGTTTGAAATACCAGAGTAGCTGTTCTTATTGCTTCTTTTAAAAACTACGATTGAAGTGTGCAAACAGTATCAAATGTTTTACTTTGGGCAAAACTAGACTTTACTGTACCAGAATACTGGATTTCCAGGCCAGGCGTGGTGGCTCATGCCTATAAACCCAGCACTTTGAG